TTCACAAATAATAATTAAAAGACCTCAGCTACAAAAAGGAGAAAATACAGATTTATCATAACTATGATAGTATTAGACAAGCTTTCACTGACAGATCAGTGTTGGATTTTTTTTCCTTTCATTAATTATTATTATTATTATTATTATTATTATTATTATTATTATTATTATTATTATTATTATTGTGTAACCCTGACTACACTGCAAAATGAGAATTCTATCATTTATTCTAACAGGTTAGAATGAGACATGCCATCAAAGGTGGTGTGACAGCTACCTGAAAAATCTGATTAAAAATTATCTTAAAATATAGTGATTCTTTTTTTTCTACGTTTAATTAGACAATCCAGCAATATCCACAATAATACTTCAATAGAAAAACTTAACACTTAACAATTTTTTCAGATACTGAACTATATTAAGCTATTTGGTAATTTGACTCCAACAACCCATCATAGCAGAAATAATTCCAGTGGTGACAGGACAGGATCCCCAGACTCTACATGGGAGTGAAGATGAAGACTGCAGCTTGGATGGGTCCAGGGTAAGACAGAGATGGGGAGGAGGCTTATTGCACGAATTGGAGAATGAAAGACAAAAGGACAGAAGAACATTAAGAACTAAAGCAAGCAAAGTAGAGCCTGGTCGGCTCGGAGAAGGCAGGCAAGAACATGATTAGATTAATGACATCAGTCACGAGTTTGACAGCGTCATTTACAGTGGAATGTTTCAGTTCCGCCACAAGAGGGTGCTCTTCTTCTTTATTCTGTCTTAAGGTAATCATTTAAATGTTCCTCAATTTCACATTAAAACAAACAAACAATTGATTTATGCCAAATAAGATGAGGAAAAATGGATGAATATTAAATGTCTTATTCTTTTTACCTTTCAAATAGCTCTTAGCTATAAAGATTCAGTAGAACTTAAAAATCATCTTAACTGTTAACAAGTATGTCAAAATAAAGATTAGAAAATCCAACAAACTCTTAAACTGTGCAAGGTCTCTGTGTGTGCTCACGTGCATGCGTGTAAGTGAGTAACTGAGTAGTTACAGAAACTTTCTTCACATAGCATCAAGTTAATTCATGTTTGAAGTCAGAGTATC